CACATAACCTTCTCCTTTTCCCCCACACAACCCTCTCCTTTTCCCCCACACAACCTTCTCCTTTTCCCCCACACAACCCTCTCCTTTTTTTCAAATTTTTTAGTTTGTGTCTGTGTCATGTTTTGATCAAGTAAAGCTTTTTCAAGAGAGTTGAAAAAACACGTTTTTGTCAATGATTCCAAACACTTAATTTTTTTCAAATGTCCTCATGATATTATTACTTTAACTTGTTTTTCCACTAAAGAATTTTTTCTCTGTAGCACTTTATAAATGAATAAATAATTGAAAAAAAAGTTAATCTAACTTTCTCAAACTTAATAGAAATATTTTTACATTATTTTCATTATATTAAGGATTATATTTTTAGCTTTTCTCTCAAAAAGATAGAAAAAGGAATAAAATTAAATAAATATAGATCATTTGTCATAAATTAAAAATAGAAAGTAAATAGTCGTTGGTTCGTTTCTCAACATTTTTTGTAAAGATTTTACTAAATTCGGAGAAGTTCTAAAGTAGTATGCGATTATAGCAATATAATGAAGACGACTTTTTTTTAAAATTTCTAACAAGCTTTATACGAATAACAAGTTTAAAAGAATTTAAGTGAAGTTTTTTGATCGACAGCTTCTCTCTGTTTCCATGTTTTTGTGTATCCAGATGCTGTTTTATAAATCTTGATATAAATCAAAATTAAAATCGAAAGTCGTCTTCATTTTATTAATATAATCACCTACCACCGTACATAAGGGGTTCGTTTTTCCTAATGATTCAGGATAAAAATATTGCAAAGTTTAATAGAAGCAAACTTTTACAGATTACAGTTTTATAATGTTAAAGGTTTACAGTATTTGCTGCTTTTTAAAAGTTCAAAAACCTCAAAAACGACCCAAAAATGGAAATTTTTGGGATTTGGTTTGGCTTCTGACATGAATAAAGTTACGATTAATATGATTGGAAACTAAATAGTTTTCAAAAAACCAGTGTACAGCTGTAAGGTAGGGATTTAAGAATGAAAGAATGCGATTCCGTACAGTCATCTCTGACTATGATCCAGCAATCCATATCTGGGTTTGGCCTGGTTACATATTTGGTTTAATGCCTGTTATTCAAGACAACTAGCTCACACAAATCACAGGCACATGGCAAACCTACCTCCCACACATTCAAACATACAGGGTGTACCCCCGAAAAATAACCAGGCTTATCTTATCTTCTTAGCCATTTTTCTGGGACACACTTTATACTACATTACAACCTACATGCTACAAACATACATACATATGATATACATATAAACATACATACAAACACCATAACATAAAGGATGTCCCGAAAAAGGCTTTGAAAAATTATATAAGAAAAAAGACAAATGCATACTTCAGAAATACATAAATCACACATACATGTATAATATATATATATATATATATATATATACAACCATACATACATACATACAGACATTTAACATAGATCCACCTTTACATGCTGATGTATCTTCATAATTTACTAGATAATGCTAACAAATGTAATATCAAGGGACCAATCTGTAAATAGTGTCGAGTCATTTCAACGATGTATATCTCAGTTCAAAGACACCTTATGATGATTATATAAACAATTTGTTCGGACACTTTTTGTTCAGCTGATTCATTTATATATTTTTGTAATTAGTAGTTTTTAAAGGGACTGTAAGCATAATTTTAAGTGACCCCCTATGCAAATGTGGTAATATCCGGTTTACAACGGTACCGTAATCTGAATAAAATTGTGAAAGATACCAATTTTTTCTGACTCGAAGTGTTTTTTTTCTGTGAACTTCGATCTCCATTGCTTCTTAGAATCAAGAAACTATATACAGGAACGCCCAACTCAGATATAGGCATATTATGAACTGTACACTGTGGAAGGAATGTAAACAACCCCAGTGCCCCCACAGAAGTAAGCAAAAAGACTAAAGCTCTGATGTGATATTACAGTCCAACAAAAAAAACAAATTAATATATCAAGTTAGAGCGAATACTTATGATTTTTGGCTTTCTGGTCAATTGGAAAATACAATAGCAATATACTATTATTAAACCCCTTGGGCTCTTTTCCCTCAACAATGATGCGTTGCCCCTGAATTCTTTGTTTTAATCTCCTCCCACTGCAGTACACAGATTTGACGCATCAGATATGGCGGTTCCTGGTCTATTTATTTCTTGCTTAGAATCAAGAATGCGCAGGAGAAACCGCAAATGAAAATAAACATGGATACCTATTATCTAACTCATACTTGATCAGGAAAATCTTTTAAGGTTACCGTTGTAAATCGGGTATTGTCATCTTTGAGTAAAGGGTCACTTTAAATATCACTTACAGTCCCTTTATTCTTTTGTTGTATCTTCTTTTATTTGATTTTTTTAACAGAAATGACCGCATATAGAAATATAATGAATTTCATCCCTAGGCTTCTAAATTTTGTACTTTAATATTTAAGTACCCACATACATATGCATACTTAAGATAAGCATAATTACACTATATTCAGAACAAGGGGGTTCAAAAAAGAGAAAAAGAGGAGTGGGTAGGACAGTTTATCCCTCCCACCTCCTCCTTTTTAGAAATGTTTCATTTTCGGGAAATCCTGTTTTTTTAGCTTTTACGCTTCGATCATGTTTTTGTTTTAAATAATTTATTTCTGAGGGAAAAACAAATGGAGGCTAAAACTCCAAATTGTTTATACATTTTCTAATTAAAATCATCCTGTTAAAAGTTCAAATTTATCGCAACAAAATCAAATTAATTCCTAGAAAAAAAAACTATATTTTGCGGGGGTTATGATTTTTCAAGATATATTGCATACTAATTTATTTAGGCCCATTTTGTTTTGATTTTGTATCTCCACACAGACAAATAATGATAAAAGGTGAGCTCTGTTACTGATCAGATAGATTCTCAAGAACAAGGTTATAATGCAAGGAAAGTTATTTCAGAGGTGTACGCATCTTTTGCACTGCAGTGTACTGTCTCTGGGCGGTAATGTAACACACAAGACACATGTCACAGCCTGACATGGGATCCATCTTTCACATAAAAAATCAATGAAATATTCTGGTCATAGGAAACTATTTTGTGAATTATCAAAATTATCAAAATTAAATGCTTTTATCCTCCCCGGATACTAAACGAACACTAATGCATCTATTCTTGTTTACAAATTCCGGCGAGAGAGAACTGGTGTCAATATGTACGCAGAGTATACGCAATTGCAATACTCTTTCCTTGCATTATAACCTTGTTCAAGATGTTATAACAAAATGAAAAGGGGGTAGGCCGGGTTGGGGGTCGTACATCTCAGTTCATGAAGTACAGAGTTCCAAATAATGGGCTCCGTAACAAAAACCTAAACTTCCCCGTCATCTGCCAATATATTGGACGTAAATGCATCTTGTTCTCCTGCATTTAAAAGTTACTCATTAGTATGATTCATGGTCTAAAAATCTAAAAGATTGATAATGATTTCATGAACTTTTTTACAGTACACAAGAAACAGTACACGGAAAAAATGGCATAGTGCACAGTACACAGTAGGATGTTCATATTAAAATTAAACAGTACACATTACACATTACAAATTACACAGTATACAACATTGTAGAGTATAGAACAAAGTACACAGTGTACCTGCAGTACACAGTACACAGAAAAATCTAGACCTTGCATAGTTTACAGTACAAAGTAATACATTCTAGCTTTATATGAGTAAATTCCTAACTTCTTAATTAAATTAAGGAAACTGGTCTTATTCTTTACTAAGCAGTAAACATAGATAGATATCTTAGATTTTATTTTTAACAATGTAACGTATATATCTATCTATATATAAATTTGGCTTGTCTGTCTGTTTGTCTGTCTGTCTGTCTGTCTGTCTGTCTGTTTGTATCCAATATACGTCAAAACGGCTGAACCGATCGGGCCCAAATTTTTTGTGGGACATCTAGGGACCCCAGGGAAGGTTTATGAATGATTGAAATTTTAAATATTTGTCTCCATCAAAATTCGATCTTCATTAAATTTTTTAAAATTTTGAAAATCCACGAAATTTTTTGTGAAAATCCGCGAATTATTTTTGTTTTGTTTTACGATGTACACAAAGAGAACATGTTCACAATTAATTTAGAAGATGGGCGCGAAGCGCCCTCTAAGGCTAGTATATATATATTTATATATAATTCGTAAATCTGTTTGTTTGTTTGACATAGGCCTTAAGGCAGTTTATGTCCGGCGAAAAATCTAGAATGTGCTTTACAAATATTGGTCTCATATTTCTTAATAAAACATCTACGAAGAATACAGGAATAAAATAAATTTTTAAATGCAGAAAAAAGAATATTACATGAATAGGAAAATCTAGAATTAATTGTCAGATCTCTAAGAATATCTAGAATTTTCATATCTCTTTAAATATCTAGAATTATCAGATCTCTATAAATATTTAGAATTGTCTGATCTCTGTGAATATCCAGAATTGCCAGATCTATATAAATATCTGGAAATGTCAGATCTCTATGAATATCTAGAAATGTCAGATCTCTATGAATATCCACAATTGCCAGATCTCTATAAATATCTGGAAATGTCAGATCTCTATGAATATCTAGAATGGTCAGATCTCTATGAATATCTAGAAATGTCAGATCTCTATGAATATCTGGAAATGTCAGATCTCTATGAATATCTAAAAATGTTAGATCTCTATGAATGAATATTTATAATTGTCCGATCTCCGTGAATATCTAGAATCGTCAGATCTCTATAAATATCTAGAAATGTCAGATCTCTATGAATATCTAGAAATGTCAGATCTCTATAAATATCTAGAAATGTCAGATCTCTTTAAATATCTAGAATTATCAGATCTCTATAAATATTTAGAA